ACCCTGACCTCGGTGTTTGTCGCGCCGGTCGCGACACCTGGGAATTTCTGATTGCATAATGGGCTTTATGCAAAATTCCAGTTTTTGTCTCCTCAGCCCAGTGATATGCTAGCAAAGTCGAGGCTTTTGCTTTCTGCTTGATCTCTAGTCCCTGAGATGTAAGTGAGAAATGCCTCCAAAGAAAGTTGGCAGTGAATACAGGGCCCATCCTAACAAGTCTCCCATAGGTCAGATCTACGCCCCACAAAGACTGGAGGCTTTAATTGCTCTCTGATAGATTTGAATGGTCTTCTTTTGTGCGACTGTATTTTATCCTGCTTTTATAGTCTTTTGCTGGAGGATCAGTCTGAAACAAGCCATTCCATCAAAGTTCTCAGTGATTCTGATGCCATTAACCCATCTTCAGACTTATCTCTTACACTCCTAGGACCTCAGGGCTACAAAGTGAGGTGAGTGTTCTCCTTGCTTCCATTTGCACTTCCAAACTACTTTTCCTCCATCTCTCAAAATCCCAAGCTACAGTGAAATCCATGACATTTGGCTATGTCCCCCATCACTAGTGCTTGCTGTTATCTTTTGTCAACCTCCTGGTTCTTGATCATTCATTAAAGACTATAGTCAACTGCCTTCTCTATTCCTCACCACTTTCCTGCATGACTGCCACTGATTGCCACAACCACAAGGACAAGGAGAATCCACTCCACACACTAGCCCCTCAGGTGCTCTGCCCAAATACCCCCACTGATCCTTCCCTCCTTTTCTTTTTAGTAACCCACCCCCGTCACAGTCTAGATCTTATGACCAGTGACGAGGGAGCATAATGCAAGCTGAGCAACCTCCCCCCTACCCTGCCCAGTTTGGATACGTGTGATACTCCTCAGGCACTCCTGGTTGCCCAAGAACAAAGGCAAGGACAGAAAAATGGTTAAATGATAGAGTCTCCGTCAGTTTACAAATATCTTAGTAAATTACCAGAAAAAAAAAAGGCAACCTTATCAAGAGCCTAATCTCCAGGGACTCCTTACTGTCTTAATGATAATACTTGGCTAGAGGGAAAAACAACCTTAGCTTGATCACAGCTAGGCCTCCAGTAATCTGTGAGTGTTCCTTAGCATATGGAAATCCCTTTACGAAACTCCGTCTTGACTTTATCTCCCTCAACTCCATAGTCTATAACCAGTCACTCTTCACAACCCTTTAATTTTTAATTAAATTTACCTGATTTAATAAAATCACCTTTTTGCACCAAAGACGTCTCAAGAATTCTTTCTTGGCCGTCAGCTCTGGACTCCCATCACTCCAAAACTTCATCTCCAGTAACTGCACATAGGAAACGGTGATTTTAAGACTCTCAGTTTCTGAACTCTACTTCCTCTCCTTCCAGCTCGCTTGTGTCACGCCCCTACTTTGACCTCATTGAGATTTCTAAATCCCTGACCTTACCCCGTCTGCATGTCCATCCCAAACCTCTTGTGGTGAGTTCCCGCTTTATCAAGTTTACGTCTCACGGTCATCTCTTTCTCTCTGTACCATTTTGCGGATAAAATCTCAACCCAGTGGAATTCAACCCCATGCTTCCCTATCCTTCCAGCTAAAGGGTGCTGGAGAAAATCCCACAGTCACGGTGATCCCTTTGAATTTAAAATTATGATCACAAGCCTCTTATGAACACTCTGTGCTACCAGACAACTCTTTGTTTCTCTAATAAGTTTGGTTTCTGTCTCCCGCTATGGCTACCACTCCATTTCTTTGTTTCTCTTCAAAGCCGAATGTTTGGAATGAGTTATAAATACTCATCTCTACCTTTTCAACCCAACCACTCATTAAAAAAATTTTTTTTTACATTTATTTATTTTTTTGAGAGTATAGAGAGACAGAGCACAAGTTGGGGGGGGGGGGGCAAAGAGAAGAGACACAGACTCCGAAGCAGGCTCTAGGCTCTGAGCTGTCAGCACAGACGGGCTCGAACTCACAAACCGTGAGATCATGACCTGAGCCGAAGTCAGACGCTTAACCGACTGAGCGACCCAGGCGCCCCTAACCACTCATTTTTCAATCCACTTGGATCTGGCTGATGGTGCTCTTATTAAGTTCACCAAAGAACTCTGCTCCCAAAGCCAGTGGCTCCATCTGTCTTCCTCAGCAAGCTCAAACAAAACCTTTCTCTCCTCCTTTTTCCTACCTCTGGTGTTCCTCCTTCTCAGTCTCCCTCACTAGTTTCTCTATTTCTACAAAGCCTCTAAATGTTGAAAAGCCCTTGAACTTGGTCCTGGGCCCCCTTCTATAGCTGCACTCGCTCCCGTGAGGACTGTATCCAGCTCCATGGCTGGAAATGCCATCTC